ATTTCCTCTCACTAATCTCTCCCTCTCTGATCTCCACGGTAGCGTGTCTTCTAGGCACCGAGGCTGCGAGGCAAAGGGAACTCTCAGCGGGTCAGTTCTCCATTACTCACAAGTCTCTCTGCAATGACATTTCCTCCAGGAAATGAGAAATCATCGGAATCCCGTAAGCGAGAGGCTGGGCAGCACAGATGGTCAGATGCTGCTGCGTCCCCAGTCGCATTCTTAAACAATGAGCCTCTTGAAGATAATGGCGATCAGCAGATTTGGCTCAGCCTCCCCAGCAGTGAATACACTCAGCATCTCTACACTGCCGAGGTCTCTAACAGCTTTCTTTGGAATAATGCAGCAGGCGTGTGGCCAAGAGACACCAAACCGTTATTCACTGACGACTGCATCCAGAGTAGTTATTCAGCTAGCGTCCCCACATTCCTCAAGCTCTGGTCACTGCTGTAGGAGGAAAGACCTTTCCCTCCCGCTCCTTGCTTCAGTCTCTACCCCAAAGAAAGAAACGCGGCCAAGAGTCCCCAAAACAGGCTTCCAAAGGTCATTTTAGGGTGCCATAATAGTTCACACAGGCTCACTCAACACCCACCCAAAAACCAAGCCACCGAGAAGCAGGTTTTCAAAAGGTACGAATGGCAGCTTCCTGCCTTACTCCCCATGAGCATCAACACGTGTCTGGTGCCTGGGCGCGCCCTAGAAAATCTCCCCCAATGTCCAAGTCTCCTACTCTCAGGGCTGTTGTACAGCCGAGATCCCCACACACGAAACTCCAAGGGCAAGCAGACGATTGCTGACACAGGCCTACGCGTACAGAGCCCCTCGCAGACAAGTACCAGGAGAAACTCAAATAGATTTCCCACACACGTCTCCAAACGCAAGTTTCAGTCTCTTTCCAGCTAAGCAAGCTCAGAGTAGCAGCCACCTTTGTATGCAGGAGGATTAACGAGAGCAAAGTCAATGTTTGACCATTATCAACCATAAGCCAGTTCACATTTCGCTCTTTCATAGAAAATCATCCCCTAAAAGCAGGCGGGAGGTTGCAGGTGTCTTCTATACCAGCTGCACAATTACAAAGCCAGAGAGAACCACAGGGATACATACGGTCCAACACGAGCTCCACAATCTGCGAGACACGGAGCCGCCGGGCTCGCTCTGCTCAGCAGACCCATCCCTTTGGAGGACAGGGCAGGAAGGCCTGCAGTGGACTGATGCGGATTAGCCCAGGAGGCACACTGATGGGCAAGGGCCAAGAGAGAAAGAGCCCAGCCTGGCTGCCCTTTGCCGGCTACCAGGAAAAGGGGCTGGGAAGCTTCAGCGAGGTGCCATCATAGGACCCTGCTCAGAGCTCAGCCACTGGCCCAGAGACATTGGAGGAGCTGGGCGTCTTCCCTCTCTTCTATGGCCACTGGAAGACAAGCACGGGTCTGCTCCAGGATGGCTGTTCCAGAAGTCCTCTGCCACCCTGTGCACACCCCACAGGCCTGCACACGGACCCTGCGGCAGCATGGGACGCTCCATTCAGAGCCACTGGCCAGAAAAGCTTGTGTTTGGGCTCGTGGCTCTTGCCTAGGGTGCACTATGTGCCCCATTACCGGTCACCTACTGACACCCCCCATCTCTGGGAGCACTCATGCCGCAGGGCCAGACGGCCAGGATGTTTTGAGCTGGCTGAGAGTGACAAAGGCACCAGGAGGTCTTCAAGCCTTTGAAGAGGCAGAGAAAGGTGCAGGCACGCGAGGGTTCCCCACTGCCGTGCAATGTAAGAGCAACATCCCTGGACACAGCAAGGCAAGACCTACCCTGGTGACAGGGCTCCGGGCTCCCTGCTGGCCATGGCACAGCAAGCTGCTCTGGGGGAGGGGGAACAGGGGGATATTTTACTCCTTTGGCTGCTGCGCTGTCTCCCTGCAGCCCGCGGGACGTGCTCCAATGCTCCTGCAATGCAGGCCAAGCGCCACTCCGCTGCATTGCCCACTGCTAACACTGGGCCCAGATGTCATCCTGTACCGGCCCCACCACAGAGGAACCCACCCGTGCTTTTTGATAGCTTGGCCTGCCAGGACCAATAAGCGCCACACCCAGACCTAGAGAAACAGCAAACCAAGCAACGGGACAAGTCAGCTCTGCACGCACGCACAAGCCAGGAGGAAGCCTCACGGACCAAGCACAGGGAGGAATTCTCTATAGCACGGAGCATGGCGGGCAGGGGGGGTTTCCATTTCGCTGACCTGTGCTACCCAGCGGGCAGACTAAAAGAGCAGGGCGATCCCTTCTGGCCTTAAAACCCATGCAGCCAGTGCCTAACTCCTCCGTGCCTTTGAAAATCCCAGCTAAGATGTGGAAAGGAGGGAGGCTAGGGGATAAGGCCGGCAGCCCTGGCAACTCCGAGAAATGCTGTGCCACTGGACCAGGAAGCCAGGCTGCGATTCCAACCTACTCCCTATGAGCAGATCAACGTAAGTCTGTAAAACCCCTCCAGCACCCAGGCAACGTACCTCTGATTCAGCTGCTTGGCATGTTAGCAGGAGGGTCGTGACATTTTATCTCCCTCCGTTTTAGAGACTCGGAGCTGCGTGGCTGTCTCCAGAGCTCACTATCTTCCTAAAAGACCCAGCCAGACTCGCTGCATCTGTGAAGAAAGATTCAGAGTGGCAGCTGCTGCATCTCCCGGCTCCGGTTCACATGGACAAGAGATCCTTGCCAATTTTTTTTTTTTTTTTTAAAGAACAGTTAAGGCAAGAGATGGAAACAGCGGTTTCCTTTTGCCAGCAGAGGCAGTGCTCCTTACTCAGCTGCTGAAGTCTGAGGATTAACTGCCCAGCACAGGAAACAAGAGTGACAACGCTGGATTAAAACAGTGCACAGAAATGGAACGATGGGGAGAGTTAACAGTGACATGGGAGCAGATTTTGGTGTCCTGGTCACTCGATTCTGTTCTCTCAGAACTACCCGGGCCAGCCATTAAACCCAGTAAAACTGGGGAGAAAATGGCATGCGAACCTTTCCAGCACCAGTAGCATCCACCCTCAGCATCTGTAAACTGTGCACACATAATCCCGGGTTCTACTCCCAGCTCTAGTGTTGTCCTAGTAGTCTCCAGTATTATTGTAATACAACTATTAAACTATGGTTATCGTAAGGTTGAGGGGGAAGGAGAGAAAACCCTTTGATTACCTCCTGCAGCAAACGTCTGATTTCACAGGGGACGCTAACACAATCCAAGACTATCTCTTATCATTGACTCTCTGTGCTTGCTACCCCTCTGCAAAATGGGGACAGTAATCCTTCGTCTGCCTGGTCTGGTTAAATGCTCTTCAAGCAGATCTGTTCAGTGCTTAGCATAATGGGACTCTGCCCTTCCGCGCTACTGTAATACAAATAATACATGTTGCCTTTCATTCAAAAAGAGCAATTGAGAGGAATGACTTTGGTCCCTTTCAATAAGGTCATATTCTACTGGCTTTCCGCTAGCAACACCTGCGCTACACAATTTACACACAAACCACCCACAACAGCCTGGAGCGCAACTGGCAGGAATTCAGAGCTGGGCCTGAAACATCACCCAGGACAAGTAAGTA